GGAGAGAGAGGAATATATCTTTTGGGTAAGAGAATGTGCTTTATTCCTCTACTTTTATTGGTGGATGGGGCCAGAATGCTACACAGTCATGTGAAGACTATGCTTTTGCGGAAAGATTCCCCCTTTGGATAATCTTTTAAGGATTGAAGGAGAAGAATACTCCATAGTTATGTGGTCTACCAATCAAAGGGATGAGAATGGTCCCCATATGGATTCAAAAAAGACATTTTCTATCTTCCTAGGAGGGGTAGGGCCCACAAGGCACCAAACATTAGGTGGGAGAACTCTCTCTCTCTCTTTCACACTCACACACACACACACACTCACACACATAAAGGCTTAGTCCCCAAATTCTCTAAACAGAGTATGCGATGGGCCCCTAATTATTTAGACAATAGGGCATGGGCCCCGAATTCTCTAGAGAGGGTGGGGTGCGGGCCCCCTGTCCTAGAGAGTGAAAGTTGGGTATGGGCCCTGTCCTCTGGAGTGTGATGATGGAGCATGGGTCTATTCTTCTATAAGGACAAAGTGGGCTGGGCTTGGGCTTGGGCTTGGGCTTGGGCTGTCTTCTAAAGGCAAAGTGAGGTGGTGTGGACCCATAGTTGTTGGGATTGGGAATGAAACTAGGGGCTGGGGATTGTGAAATGCTAGAAGACCCCTATGATTGGGAGTGTCATCTGTACAATGCATATGTTAGGAATTTAGATCCCCAAATGTTAGGGATATATATAGCCCAACATTTTTGGGGATATTGATTTCGACATAGTGGGATCTTGATCCCAACCTTTTGTGGATCTTGCTACCAACCCTAAAGTGTATGGATAATCGAGGATTATATATTCTCTATAAGATATGAATCTCTTTATTTATAGCGTGCAAGCAATGTAACTATATTAAAAGTATAATTGCATTGCCAATTGGTTATCAATAAAAAATCATCAATTTGGTTGTTATATTAGTCTTTAAGGTTGGGATTGAGATCCCTAAAAGTAGGAAGTGGGATCACTAAAAGTGGGGATCGTGATCTGAAAATTTAAAAATTGAGATCCTTTGAAAATATGTTTCTTGGAGCGCCAAATTGAGAGTCTGGCGTTGGATCACCACCTATGTTGGGAGATCCCGGCAACTACGCGTGGACCTCATCCTTTAAAGCGAAAAGTGGAGCTTGGGCTATTCTAGAGAAGGAAGGTGGGCCACGGGTGCTGTCCATTAGGCACAAAAACTGAGGCATGCGCCTCCATCTTCTCGAAAGAGAAAGTGGGGCAATAGCTCCATCTTCAAGAGAGAAAATGTGGGTGTGGGCCTCTCAGGGATTATAATTGGTGTAGAAGGTTGATATAGTACTTCTCGGGCCTACATTGTAAAACCACACATCTTGTCCTTTTATTTAAGAAAAATATCTACATGGGATATCTGTGTTTGTAACACCAATATCTAACAGATTTTAGAATGAAAATTGTAAAATAAATAGATTAAAAACTAATTTTGAAGTGTCTATACCACCATTTATGACATGGTTATGGAAAAGCTAGTGATTCAAAAAGTAGACCTCCCAGTGCTTGGGCGGCTGCCTAGGCGTATCTGGGGGCCTGGGCGCATCGCCTAAGGCTAGGCTCCCTAAAAAAGCGGTGGTTCCTGAGCGCCGCCTAGGCGGTCGCTTAGGTCCAACGCCTCGCGCAGAGGCAGAAATAGCTTTCGGTGGGGGCATTTTTTTTCCATTTTTTTATACTAAAGGGTAAAAAATGGGGGTTTTAGGTTCATTTGAAACTTAAAACTTATTGGAGCCCATTTTAGAGAGAGAAAACCCCCCAAAAACTAGTTTTTTGGTGATTTCATTAGGATCAGAGGGTTTCTCAAAGTTATGAGAAATTGATCAAAACATCACCCATTGATATTAAATTTAATTTTAGATGTTTTATAAATCTATTGGGGGGTTTTTTAGAATATTTTGAGTCCTTAGAATAATCTTTGAGGTGAAAGTTTGGAGATTGAGCAATCAAAAGTGATTTTTTTTATTGCTTGTATAAATTGCATTATTTTGAGATGTCTTCTTCGGGATCCAATAGGAGTGGTGATTCCGGTTGGAAATATGGCTACAACTCAGATCCTAATCATAACAATTGCATAAGATGCAATTTTTGTGAGAAGGATACAAAAGGGGGCATAAACCGGTTCAGAAACATCTTGCCGGTATCAGGGGGGATGTTGCCCCATGTAAAAAGACTTCTGATGCTTCTAAAGAGTAAACAACCAATTTTTTGAATATGGTAAAAATGATAAAAGATGAGAGATTTGCCTCCATAGCAGAGATTAGGTCTGGGGTTCGGGTCAATTAAGCAGGTTCTATGCTGCGGTAGAGGCAATTGGTCTATTTGGGCCTTGGATGAAATCCCAACCCCATATGAGCTTTCAGAGCCTCTTTTGAAAAAGGCGGGTGAGGGTCACGAAGGAAGCTGTAGAAGTTAAGAAGGATGCATGGGCTCAGTATGGGGTTTTTATTATGACTGATACTTGGAGTGATAGGAAGATAAGAAGACAGATGAATTTGCTTGTGAATTGTCCTTTAGGGAATTTTTTTTTTTTGAGGTCTATTGATACTACTGATTATATCCATGATGCCCATTACATATTCCAAGTTATAGAGAAGGGAATCAAGGAGGTTGGGGAGCATCATGTTGTACAGGTTGTCACAAACAATGTTGCTCCTAATGTTGCTGCAGCTAATTTGTTACGCTTAGCTTATCCTAGAATCTTTTGGGCACCATGTGCAACACATTGTATAGACCTCATGCTTGAGGTTCTTGGCGGTAGGTGCAGTGAAGAAGGCAAAGTTAGTTACAAATTTCATTTATGGCTACCACCTCACCCTTAGCATGATGCATAGATTTACAAAGAGGAAAGAGATTGTGAGGCATGAGGTCACGAGATTTGCGATCTGATACTTATACCTAGATAACATACATTCGAAGAGAGTGCAGTTGAGGCAGATGTTTACCTTAGATGACTGGAGAGCATGCAAGTGGTCCAAGAATCAGGCTAGGAAGAAGGTGAGAGATATTATCTTTTTTAAGGCTTTTGGGCGAGGGGTGAAGGGCGCTCTTAAGGTATTTTTTTCTCTTGTCAAAGTCATTCGCATGGTTGATAGTGACAAGCCTTCTATGGGCAATATATATGAGGTTATGGAGAAATGCAAAACAGAGATAGCCCAAAATTTTGATGATGATGAGAACTGCTACAAGCCTGTTTGGGAAATTAGTGATGAGAAGTGGGATAGGCAGCTACATTGGCCATTGCATGCAGTTGGTTATTATTTGAACCCAGCTTTTTTTTTATGTTGACAAGGATATACACACAAATGACTAGATTTAATAAGCGTGTAGATGTGCTAGTCTCTAATCCTGATATCCAGGATATTATATGCACAGATGAGCTGATAGATTACAAGTGCTCATTAAAGTGTTTTAGGAGTCCACTGGCGATGAGGCAAAGGACCAAAATTGATCTAGGTAGTAATAATATTCTTAAGTTCATCAAATTCAAGTAATCAAGTTTCATTTTTATAATTTTATTATTTATTTATGATTTTATTCTATATCTTTGCAGCCAATTGGTGGAGCCAACATGGGTGTAGTTCTCCAAATTTATAAAAGTTGGCCATTCGGATCTTAAACCTAACCACTTCCTCATTCCGTTGTGAGAGCAATTGGAGTACTTTTGAAGGGGTAAGGCCGTAAGGGTAATTTGTATAATTGTATTAATAACACATGAACCATATATTTTAATTAGTTTCATTTGATTTTGTTAGATTCATATAAAGAAAAGGAACATGTTTGAATCAAAGAGGTTCAATGACCTAGTCTATATCAAGTATAATCGATTTTTGAAAGACAAGTTTGCTAAGAGAGATAAAAGAGACTCCATCAGATCAAAAAATATAGGCAATGCTATTGAGTGGTTAGTTGATGATGATGAAGTCGAGGGGCATGAAGGATTGACAGGGACATGGTCATGGATGCTTCAGGGACATCAGCTGACCCTCCTAAGGCCACTAGATCTTCTGCACAGAGAACAAGGGTGGAGGAGGAAGAAGAGGCAGATTCAGAAGAGATGGAGGAGGACGACCAATATGTCGAGGAGGGTGACAACTCCGATGAATATGATGCCAATGCAGCTGACCCTAATTTTCTGATGGTGAATGTTAAATAATTATTAAACTTTGAACTTTGGTTGAACTATTGTCTATTGAAGATTCTTTTGAGTCTTCAAGTATTACTTTCATTTTTGTTTTCTTCCACATGGTGGTGTAATACTGTAATGTGATTTGTTGATAGTGGATTTGTAGTTCCACTAGTTTCGTACTATTTGGTAGCTTTGGTTTGGTAATTTGGTTGGTTGGTAAATTTTAAGTTTTAATTGGATATGGATTATGGACCGACTTATGGTTATGCTTATGGAGTGTGTGCTAATGTATAATATACTTTGAATTTTTGATGTGACCTAAATACCTAGTTCATATATTTTATACAATATATAACTGTAGATACCTTTTTTGATTCAACTGGGCTGCCTAGGTTTTGGGCACTCTCCTAGGCGCTGGGCGGTCTGAACCCCCTAGGCCACCTAGGACCCACCTAGCACTTTTTGAAACACTGGATGGATGCAGTGTTAGAATCACCATCTCCTGAGGATAGTGTGATAAAGAAAACCCCACTTGTTATTTGTATTTTTAGTAGCTAAAATTTGTTGGCCAGATTAATATGCACATTCTATAGAATATTGAGTTTGTTTGATTGATAGTGATTCCCTCTTCTTTTCTTGCCCCTCTCACACACGTAGGCGTGCATACACACACATATTTCTTGTTCATCTTGTTTTTGATTTATGCACATCTTTGGGGGCATACTTATTTTAAGTAAAAACATTTGGACTAAATTCTTATAGTTGGAACTGCTTTACTATGGATTTAGTTGAAATGTTTCACATGCCAATTTTCTTTTCAGGATTGAAGGGAGTTCCTCTGGAATTGTTCATTCCCTTGATATTCACCCATCAAGGAAGCACATATGTGTGGTAAGATGTGGACTCACCTTATCCATTTCTCTGAGGAGTGAATTCATAAATATTTGGTAGGATTGTTGTACTTATGTGAAATTCCATTCTTAAACATCATGGTTTCTTCTTCATGAAACATTTTTTCCATAAAGTTGCGTACCCTTTTGTTATATTGATTAAAGTTGTGCATACTAATGGTTCTAGTAACGACTGTGTCTTGGCTTACTTGTCATAAATATGTAGGACATCATGCCAATTTTGAGGGCATATACAAAATGCTTTATATCTTCTCCAATGGATAGTGCAAATAAAAAAAAACCACTACACATCAGCATGATTAACTTAACAATTGTCTCATTTATCACTTGAGTGTTCTCTTAGTTAATAATTTGTTGTTTTTATCTCGTGTATCATTATGAACTATCTCGATGAAATCTTAACAATGTATTCTGGTATGCTTATCAAGTATTTCTGCGGCTCCTTGCCTCTCAAAGTAGTTGGGGCATGAGCATTTAAACTCCCATAGTTATGATGTTCAAATATGAAATGCATAAGTAGGTGGGAGGAGGTTCATGCCATCAATTTCCTTTTTAATTTATAGTGTGAGTACATTTTTGGAATTGAGAGCCTTACCAGTGAACAATGTTCGAAAATTCGGCTGCCCGACCACTTAGGCGACCCGCCTAGGCAAAAAATTTCAAAAAACACCTAGGTGCTGTCTTGGCGGTGGAATTATGCGGCCTGTCTACGGGCCTAGGCGCTACAGTCTGGGCGCCCGCCCAGTGACAGTTTGCGGAAGGGCAAAAAACATCCTCAGCGAGGGTAAAAAAAATGTCATTCCCCTCCCTAAAAAGGGGGAAAAGGGGTTTTGGAGGGTATTCTAAACTCCCAAAACAAAAACCGTGGCTTTTAGGGTGAGAAAAACTCCCCAAAAAACTACTTTTTGTGATTTATCGAAAGATTGATAAAGTTCCGATTTTTGCGATTTCTTCCCAAAACAAAGGCAATAGTTCGTGGTTGGATTTAGAGCTTTTAGTAGTTGATTTTGAGGACTTTTGGAGACCCAATAGACGAAGTTTACATCGATGTTGATTTGATTTTGATATTTTTAAAGTATTATAATATTTGAAAGAGGGTTTTGATTTTATTTTGCTACAACATATTATGTTGCGAATCATGTGTTTTTTCTTTTAAATTTTTTTTTACGATATATTTACATGTTTGGTTAATGACTTGATGTATTTGTTTTTTTTATTTTGCCTTGTTGACTTTGTGTATCATTTCTAGTCTAGACTTCTAGTTTCTTACAATGATATTTGGGATTTCAAGCATTTTAATGTCTTACAAGTTACAATCTCTTTGAGACTTGTATCCGTAAATATGTTATATGATTGTACTATTACATTTTCGTCTATTTCACATATAGTTTAGGGCTCTAAAATTGCCCTAAAAATTCCCAAAGACTTAAAATTATGCCTTAAGAGCTCTCCTGTTTTTTTTGTTTGGGGCGGGGGGTTCAATTTTGGTGAGGGCACCCTGTCTCTGGGTAGGCGCCTAGGCGGCCAGGCACCCAAAATACCTAGGCGTCCAAATCCGCATTTTTGAACATTGCCAGTGAATAGGCTTGCCTAAGAGGTTTAGGAAAAATTTAGTGTTCCCCTAGAAAAGGCTTTGGGGTTGCATGGTTTTCCATTTGCTGCTACTTGTTCTTGTGCTTTTGAATCTCTCTGATACCAACAGTACCAGCACTTCCTAGTGCCATGGATGTGAGGTGAGTTTATGGTACCTGAAGTACATTTTTGCCTTTTTTCATTGTTACACATTGTAGTTATACTTGTGTGACACCTCTACTGGTTATGAAAATCATTATTATTTTTTTCTTTCCATGGTTTTGTGTCGGAAGGGTATGACAATCATTCATTATCTCGAACTCCTCCTGATCCTATTTTAAGCGACTCAGACAAGAGTTCTTTCTGTACAAGAATTCTGAGATTTGTAATCTAATTTTGTTTCATTCTTTTGGGTTTGCTTTATATTTCTATGTCACATTCTACATTATTCATTGAGGTCAAATTCATAATTTAATAGATAGTTTTTCCATAATTTCTCAAATTTCATATCTCTTTCCATGCAAGTTCGATGTACACTTTTTCAACTAATCATCAAAGTTTCCTTTACTCTTTAGGTTTTTCAAAAAACTTGAAGTTTCACTCTCCTTTTAATGCTATTCTTTAGTGTTTTCTTAACTTTCCCTTATTGTCTTTTCTTTTTTTCATATTGATAGTATATTTCTATATGTTCTCTTTTTCTTTACTTCGAACCAACTTTTCCATGTTTCTTTTTTTTTCATATTGATAGTATGTTTCTACATGTTTCAATTTCATCCTTTTTTTCTACTTTATTTTTCAGAAAACTTAAAAGTTCTTGTTCTCTTCTCACTGCAAACCAAGACAAGGCATGTTTCAATGGATGTGTATTGCACCATCCACATTCGAGGAATTTATCACAAGCGCTGGGATGTCATTGTGCTCCGCCTCTCTCACTTAAATACTTTAGCCATCATTGTCATCGTCCTCTTATTGATGTCCAGCAATGCACAAAATTCCATGTTCTTAATAAGACTGGAATTCAATCTCTCAGGTTCTTAATAATGACTTTCATTTCTTACCAATAAAATGATTAAAATGGTGGCTTCAAACTTTAATTTTGCGTAGTATGTTCTTACCTGATGCACTTCAGGAATTAATAGAACTAAACTATGGTCTTGAGCATCTTCTCCAAGCTGTAACTCAATAAAAATCCTAACTCAATAAAAATCCTTCATGAATTGAAGAACTAAGTGACTGTTTGGTTGAAGCATGCACATTGTTTGCACCAAGCTGCGTTATTGCTGAATGTGGCAATACCGGATTTTAAAGGTTTTCCGCCATCTCCAATAAGCAGTGTTTTGCACACAAGCGGGGCAAATTTGCTGTAACTATCGGCCCATACCACACACGAATACCAGAGGCTGTACATATAAAATCACTGTGGTGGCTTGGTTTTACGATCCAAATGGTCCTATGGCCCTAAATCAAATGCAAAATGGCAGTCTCACATGAGTGTGCCTCAGTTTTGACCCCAATTTCTATTTTCTAGGGGCAATCTCTGACCTGGCCTCTCCCTCTTTAGTGACTAGCAAAGATGCATAGCAACATGTTTCTTCCCATTTCATCTCTACTTTTTGAATGTTCGCTTCTCTTACTCTATCTACATTTCACTGCTGCTTCCTATGATTGTGCTGTTCATTCTGCCGCTGCCTCCTAATCTCGAGATTTTTCCGAGGGAGGGCATCTATAGAATTTGTAGCCATCGTTAGAATTCGTGAAAGCATACATGCACAGACATTGAATGGAGAGAGAAGAAGAGAGAACACAATATTTACGTGATTCGTCAATGAGAGAAGAAGAGAGAACACAATATTTACGTGGTTCAGGCCGAAGCCTTACGTCCACAGTTCCAAAGCTCCAACCGGCTACATCTTCACTATTTTTGGATGAATGTTTACATCCATAAGTACCTCTATATATAGAGGATATTCACACAATTACAGGAGATAAATATGTCATGATTCTTGGAGATAGAGATAAATGGTAGGAGACCTTATCACCAAACTAACTTGATGACAAGTAACTTTGACTTGGTCGCTTCTTATCTCTAGATACTTAATCTTATCAAGAGATATATACCCCTACATCCATAATGATGTATATCAATATGAACTCGAGATATTCATATCCCAATACTCCCCCACAAACTCAAGATGCTTTGACACAAAGCAACTGAAGTTTGAACAGTAGTAAGTTGCTTAAAGAATTGTGTTCGATCTTCAGGTGCAAGGCGTGACCGATAGAAGTAGTGGTCTTCATGCTCCGATTGCTTGAACAACAAGCACAGGAAGCGGCAGATATCAGGAACAGACGGCTTCACGAGAGATCTTAGAAACATTCGGGATCGAGTAACGAAAAACTCGATCAATAGATAGGATAGAATAACGGAAAGAGATTCGATCATCTCACAGGATGGAGCAACGGAAAACTCCATCATCCAACAGGATTGAGTAACGGAACACTCAATCATCATTCAACAGGATTGAGTAACGGAACACTCAATCATTGAAATATAGATGTCTGAAGCGGACAGGATCGAGTAAACTCGATCATCACACAGGATGGAGTAACGGAAAACTCCATCATCAAACATGATCAAGTAACGGAAAACTTGATCATCGATCAGGATCGAGAAATTCGATCTTCAACCAAGATTGGGTAAACTCGATCATCACATAGGTTGGAGTAATGAAAAACTCCATCATCAAACGGGATCACATAACAAAAAACATGATCATCAACCAGGATCGAGAAATCAATCATCAAACAGGATCACGTAACAAAAAACATGATCAACAACCAGGATCAAGCAATTCGATCGTCAAACATCAACCAGGATCGAGAAATTTGATCATCAAACATCAACTAGGATCGAGAAATTCGATCATCAAACATGAGGCACTTGGAAGAGCCAACTGAAATCAACAGTTCATAGAGAACTTAAGCAACAACAAACTAAAAGGAAAACCTGGTTCCATGTGATTCAGTTTTGAGCATAAGGCCCACTCTCATCAATCACAACCTGCACAATGTTGGCCACAACTTGGAAAGGAATCACAATCAGGAACACTTTCTTCTCTCATCACAACCTGCGCACTTTTTTTTTCTTCTAAATCTCTCAACATCATCCTTTTCCTCTTGCTTCCTTCTCTTTCTAGATCTCTCGAAATCACCCATCTGACCTGTAAACCTCTGCTTTATATCTCTTGTTTAGCCGATGAATCACAATTGTTTTCTCCTCCTCTCTCTTGCCTCCTCTTCCGTTTTAAGGAGCGGCTAGACCTAGATTCCTTCTCTCTAGGATCTTGAGCTATGCGTCTCTAATGGACATTGGATCACCTGTCTGAGCAGCTTCGAGCCAGTCAAGGAAATCTTGGAGCTTGGGTATATCAAGGAAGAAGTCTCGCTCGACGATCTTTTCAATGGCGGCCACATAAGAGTCTTCATCAAGGACCTTGGGGTGTGAGCACTTGGGCTTTTTGAGATAACTATGAATTGGGGTTTCTGAAGAGTTTGGTTCAAGAAGATAGCAGGGGGGTCGACCAGGGGTTGAAAGCATGGTTGAGAGGAAGGTGGAATTAGAAAAGATGCAATTGAAACTAGGATTCAATTTTGAGCGAAGAAGGGAACGACAACACTGAAAGGAAAGACATGTTCTTGGATTGCAGAGAGAAGAGAGAAGAAAAGTCGTGGATTAGGGTTTAGAGGTCATAAGATTAATGGAGGAAATCAGGGTTCAGCAACAAAAGAAAGAAGAAAATTAAGTTAAACGGAACGAGGAATTAAGGTTTAGGATTCTAACCTCGACACACTCTCTGTACATGCGCATAGGCTTGCAAGCCTCAAACCTTCTTTGTTGAAAAATTGGGCCTATTTTGTGATTACACCACGCTTATCTCTCTACAATGTCGTCCCGTGTGGTTGGAACGCACGGATATCTGGCACTGGCACCTGAATACACCCTCTACGGGCAATTGACAGAGAAGAGTCACGATTTGGCTTTGAATTTAATATACAGAGAAAAAGAAAGGAGAAGGCACTTGGACGGAGCTGGGTATGGTCGCGGTATAACTTCGGTAACGAGATATGAAGTCGAAACTTTTGATCGGAAAATAAAGCCAAGAACGAGGGAGAAATAGGGACGGCTTCAACTCGTTCCCTACAGACCACGATCAAGAGAGACGATGCTCTGATACCATGTTAGAATTTATGAGAGCATACATGCATAGACATTGAATGGAGAGAGAAGAAGAGAGAACACAATATTTACGTGGTTCAGGCCGAAGCTTTACGTCCACGGATCCAAATCCCCAACCGATTACATTTTCACTATGTTTGGATGATTGTTTACATCAATAAGTACCTCTATATATAGAATACATTTACAAGAGATAAATATGACATGATTCTTGGAGATAGAGGTATATAGTAGGAGGCCTTATCACCAAACTAACTTGACGACCAAATAACTTTGACTTGGCCTCTTTTTATCTTCTAGATACCTAATTTTATCAAGAGATATATACCCATACATCCATAATGATGTATATCAATATGAACTCGAAATAACCATATCCCAACAGCCATTAGCAACCAGCAAGTATATCCAAGAATAAATTTGGGTCTTTGAACTTTCATTTGTTAGGATGAATCATGGAACTGGCAGCTGAAATATGCCTATTTCAAACTCAGGTTTACGAAATCGAATTGGGTGTAGTCACAAATGCAGATATCTCAATTCCAAGGGTTTGAGATGACCTTTTGTAACCAGAACCATTTTAATTTGCTTTTGTGAAACTACATCTTTTTGAAATTCGTTTTGAGAATTTTGAAATGAGAAATGACTGTAAGAGTGTCTACTATGATTTTGTGTGAAGGTTGGTGGCTCTGGTGGTACTGTTTTCGCTTGGGATCTACGGTGGCAGAAGCAACCAGTTATGCTATGTGGGGGTGGTACAGCTGATCCAATGGCTGAGGGTGAGGTTTGGAAAGTCCAGTATGATCATTATTCACAATCGGCTAATCCCTCCACTCAAATCCCACCTGTTATGATGTGCTCAGACGATGGGATACTAGCAATCGTTGAACCAGGTACTAAAACCCCAAAAATATGTTTTAGTTCTACCCCCACCACAAAAAAAAAAGAAGCGCCAGCTCGATGTTTTTCCTGTGCAACTCTGAATTCAATTTGATTATTACTGTGCTTGAACATTTGTAATTTGGTGACTAAAACAGTAGAAATGAGGGATTTTTGCCTACATTAAGAAGTGATCTGGTTTTGATGAACAGGAGAAGAGGAGCCCATTGAACTGCTTGCAGAACCCTGTGCCATTAATGGCTTTGATATAGATCCTCAAAACCCATCTGTAAGTCCCATTTCCTCCTCTCTCTCTCTCTCTCTCTCTCTCTCTCTCTCTCTCTCGTGTGTGTGTAGTAGTACGTACGTACGTACGTACGTACGTACGTACTACTACTACTACTACTACTATACTACTACGTACTACGTACGTAGTAC